CCAACCTGAAGGAGCTGGCCCAGCTGAGAGAACAGCAGGGCCTCCCACACAGACAGCCAGACGCTTCTCTTTCTAAAGCTTCCTTTGCAATGAACTCCACTGAGGAGAATAGCTTTTCTCACCTTGAGAAACTTAACCAACAGCTCCTGTCCAAAGATGAACAGCTGCTTCACTTGTCCTCACAACTGGAAGACTCTTACAACCAAGTGCAGTCCTTTTCCAAGGCTATAGCCAGTCTACAGAATGAGAGAGATCGCCTGTGGAATGAGCTGGAAAAGTTCCGAAAGACAGAGGAAGGAAAGCAGAGGTCTGCAGCCCAGCCTGCTACCAGCCCAACTGAAGTACAGAGTTTGAAAAAAGCTATGTCTTCACTCCAGAATGACAGAGACCGACTAGTGAGTATCTAGCTCTTTTGGATCTATGTTTGAGAGTTTTTGAACTGTTTTATCTTTCTATAGAAAATGATAAACATACATATTATCTGGGCTATCAGGGGCAATAGTATACATTGCACCAATTCTCTTTGGTCTTAGAAAAACACAGAAACATTATTTAAACTGCTTTAAATTCTGCCAATTCCATTATAAAAAAAGAAAAAAATCACAAATTTTCTTTACCCCAAACTGTCCACTGGTTATAAAGGGACTTAAAGTTGGAGAGAGATTATATATATATACACATATAAATGTTTCCAGAATTTGTCACAATTTCATTGAAAGAAATACAAGTATCAGTTTAGTGCCTTTTTACAATGATAATTTAGCAATAGATCATCTGGTAGAATTTGAGACAAGAAAGACATAGCTTATCATCATATCTTTATCTGTCTATCTAACCCAACCCTGTCAAAATAGAAAAACCCTTAAATGTAAAAAGGATTCACTTAAATAAGTTTAAATGAGTATTTAGCCAAATTTTATTTGCATCCTGAACTGTTTCCCCACTTCTTTCTAATACCCAACTTTTTGTGATGGGAGAGAACACTAAGGATCTCTAATGCTAAAATTGTACTGCTTTTAGTAGGGCCAAGAGTTTAATCCAGGTCTTTTTTTGGAAAACTTCAGGTCATCAAGATTCAGAAGTAAAAACTAGAACTCTATGAGCCAAGCCAAGTGTCAAGGGATTCTACTTTGCAACATTTTTGTCTTCACTTTCATAGCAGTCTCTTAACTCTGTCAAGGCCATGTACATGTAGGAGAATAGACCCAATAGAAAATAAATTAAGCTTCAGAAGGCTACATGTTCTAGCTCATATGTTACTCATGTTAAAAATCTGGAAATTCTAGTTTCTAAGATTAAATCTAGTGAAAAGATCATTTCCCCTAAGTGTAAGAGTCAATTTTTCCTTTTCTTTGTAGGTGATGAGTTCATTGCTATTTCACATAATATCCAGTGCTTATAGATAGTATTTTCTCTTTTGCAATCTGAACAAAGCCCCTCTTTTCTGCTATGGTTTTGACATTAACAAAACATATATGTATATTTGCTTGTGTTTTTTTATTTTATTTTATTTTTATTAAATCATAGCTGTGTACCTTAATGCAATCATGGAGTACAATGTGCTGGTTTTATATACCATTTGAAATATTTTTATCAAACTGGTTAACATAGCCTTTACTGCATTTTCTTAGGTATTGTGTTAAGACATTTATATTCTACACTTAATAAATTTAACATGTACCCTTGTAAAATGTACCATAGGTGGGATTCCACCAATTATCCTCCCTCCACCCATCCTCTGCCCCCTCCCCTCCCCTGCCTCTCCTCTTTCCCCTTCTTCTTGGGATATAGCTTTCATATGAAAGCTATAAATTGGTTTCATAGTAGGGCTGAGTACATTGGATACTTTTTCTTGCATTCTTGAGATACTTTGCTAAGAAGAATATGTTCTAGCTCCATCCATGTAAACATGAAAGAGGTAAAGTCCCCATCTTTT